GTGTTCTGAAGTAAGTTATAGTTTAACTTTAATTAGGTAGCTAAACTATTAAAAAAAAAAGTGTTAACCTAAAAAAAAAAAAAGCCTACCCCTTCCTTAAAGAGGAGTCACAAATATGAGTTGGGGCCAGGCGCAGTGGCTCACACCTGTAATTTTAGCACTTCAGGAGGCCCAGGTGGGCATATCACTTGAGCCCAGGAGTTCAAGACCAGCCTGGGCAACATGGCAAAACCCTATCTCTACTAAAAATACAAAAATTAGCTGGGTGTGGTGGCACGCGCCTGTAGTCCCAACTACTTGGGAGGCTGAGGTGAGAGGATTGCTTGAACTGGGGAGGTGGAGGTTGCAGTGAGATGAGATCATGCCACTGCACCCCAGCCTGGGTGACAGAGCGATACCCTGTCTCAAAACAAAAACAAAACCAAAAAACCAGATATGACTTGGAGAAGCCATGAGGCAGGCAGGGGAGGGAACTAATCCCAACCTTGAGTAACAGATCAGGCCCTCAGGAAATTTAGAGACGTCTAAGGAATATTTTATGGCTCAATCTGAGCTTTTGCTAGGTTAACATTTAGTTTTAAGCATAAATTTATGCTTTCAAAAATATTTTTGAGGCATAAGGGATATTCTCTCCTTAAGGAATTTGTAGTCTGGTTAGGAGAAATAGTTGATTGCAATATGATGTAATAGATGTTATGAGAGAAGTTTGTATGGGCACACCCAGGTGCAGAACCTAATGTAGAGGGTGGAGTGGGGAAGTAAACAATGTTAGAGAAGGTTATGTGGAAATGTGACCCCTGTACTTAATCCTTAACTACAAGGAGGAGTTGTGGAAGGAAGAATATTGGTTCTTCTTGACACAGCAGTGTGTGCAAAGGCCAGGAGGGGAAAGAGACCGAAGAAAAGACTAGTGGGCTGGATGCGGTGGCTCACACCTATAATCCCAGCACTTTGGGAGGCCGAGGTGGGCGGATCACAAGATCAGGAGATTGAGACCATCCTGGCTAACATGGTGAAACCCCATTTCTACTAAAAATACAAAAAAAAATTAGCCGGGTGTGGTGGCGGGCGCCTGTAGTCCCAGCTACTCAGGAGGCTGAGGCAGGAGAATGGCGTGAACCCAGGAGGCAGAGCTTACAGTGAGCTGAGATCGTGCCACTGCACTCCAACCTGGGTGACAGAGCGAGACTCCGTCCAAAAAAAAAAAAAGAAAAGAAAGAAAAGGCTAGTGAATAACCACTTTTGATTTGTTTTGTTTTGTTTTGTTTTTTCACAAGGTCTCACCATGTTCCCAAAGGCCAGCCAACTCTTGGCCTCAAGCAATCCTCCTGCATTAGCCTCTGGAGTAGCTGGGATTACAGGTGGGAGCCACTGTGCCCCACCAGCCACTTAGTTTAAATGCTATACAAAGCCATTTGGATTCCATCCTTAAGGCTGAGAGGATGTTTGAAAGATTTTTAAGCATGAGGGCAGGGAGTTATATTATTACACTTGACGTTAAAGATTGTCCTGGCTATAGCAGGAAAAATAGAATTAGAGATCCTCTAGGCCTGGCAGTATGGTGGTCAGATATTAAGTCTTGATAAGCTTAATGTTTAATGTATTATTGAGTCTTGGAAAGTAGAAATAATCTTCAAGGGGCCCCCAAACACCAAAATTAAACTCCAAGAGGTGAGCAATAAAGATAACATGAGAATCAAATTACCCTGGGGTAAACTACCAAATCAGTCTTGAGATTCAGGAGTTGGTTGGTCAGGAATAAACTTGATGGTGGAGGTAAAGTGGGAAAACTAGGCTTAAATGTGCTTCCAGTTGTGTAGCACTCCCATATTCCCTCTGTTCTTGGCTCTTGGCAGAAACAAATGCAGATCTTTCCCTCTGGAGGAAGAGGTCCTCAATTTAGGCCTCCAAAATCTCATAAATTCACAAAATGTTAAATTGTGAACCTCTTAAAGATCATCAAACATACAAACAAGGAAGAAGTGACAAAGTCCTCAGATATTGTCAGATATCAAAGACTCCATATATAGTCACATATTAAAATAAACTAAAAATATGACATTTTTAAAGAAATAAAATAATCACAAAATGAATAGCAAAAAATCACAAATCACCAGGCAAATGTAAAAAATAACTAAATAAAACTTTTACTAATGAAAAATTATTGAAATCAAAATCTCAGGGTTACTTTGAATTAGTAAATAGGAAGCCAGATATTTTTTAAAAATTCTCCAGAGGCTGGACGTGGTAGCTCATGCTTGTAATTCCAGCACTTTGGGAGGCCGAGGCAGGCGGATCACCTGAGGTCAGGAGTTCAAGACCAGCCTGGCCAACATGGTAAAACTCCGTCTCCACAAAAATACAAAAATTAGCCGGGCGTGGTGTTGTGTGCCTGTAATCCCATCTACTTGGGAGGCTGAGGCAGGAGAATTGCTTGAAACCGGGAGATGGAGGTTGCGGTGAGCCGAGATTGTGCCATTGCACTCTAGCCTGGGCGACAGAACAAGACTCCGTCTCAAAAACAAACAAACAAAAACTCTCCAGAAAGCAATACAGAGAACAAGCAAATGGAAAATACAAAAGAGAGGTTAAAAGATGGGGTTAAAATAAGAAATACTGAAGTCCTTAGAATTCTTTCCTTCTTTATTCTTAGAAGGAAAGAATAAAGAAAATAGAGACCTAAGAGCTGAGAATTTTTGAAGCTAAGAAATGAAACCACGGTTATAGGAAGCACAACATATACCAAACAGAATAAATAAATTCATGCACAGTCATGTTGTAGTCAAACTGCAAAACACCAAGAGAGAAGATCTTAAAGGACCAAAGAAAAGATACACCACCTACAAAGAAACCACAATCAGTAAGAAAGATAGATGTCTCACTGCTGTATTAGAAGCTGGAAGAGTAAGGCATACTATCTTCAATGTGATAAGAGAAAATGATCAACCTGGAATTTTATCTCCAGAGAAACTGTCTTTCAAGGATGATGGTGAAATACAAAGACATTTCAGATAAGCAAAATAGAAACTGCGTCCAACAGACTTTCACTTAAGGAAATTCTACTTTAGGAAGAAGGAAAAGGGTACCAGAAAGGAAGTCTGAGATACAAGAAGGAATGGTGAGCAAAGAAATTCATAAGAACCTGTGTAAATCTAAACAAGTGCTACCTGTATAAAATGATGATGATGATGATGATGATATATAATTTCTGAGGCTAAAAAAAGACAGTACTGGACAATAAGAAAGTGGTTAAAATATTAATATTTAAAATTTAGGTTTTATGTTAATTTTAAATTAATATATCATGCATGTTAAAATTTCAAGGATAACTTCTAAAAGTACATAACTTCCAAGCCAGTAAAGAGGAAAATTGAATTTAAAATTTTTTTAAATAAAAAGTTATTTTAGCTAGGTGCAGTGGCTCATGTCTGTAGTCTGAGCTACTTAGGAGGCTGAGGCAGGACAATTGTTTGAGCCCAGGTGTTCAAGTCTACAATGAGTTATAATGGCCCCACTGCACTTCAGCCTGGGTAACAGAGCAAGACCCCACCCCATCTCTTAAAAAAAAAAAAAGTAACCCCAAAATATGCACAACTGTGATCTATCAGTAAAACAGCACCAAAAAACAACCACTTAAAAATTTCTCTATTTAGCTTTGTGACCTCTGTTATGCTGCATAACCTCTGTAAACCTTAGTTTTCTCATCTTTAACGTGTGGATAGTAGTAGTACTTCCTTTATAGGGTTGTTGTGAAGATATAATCAGATAGTGCAGGTGAAAAGCTTAGCACAAATCTAGTACATAATAAGTATTAGCACATATCTAGTATATAACAAGTATTCAATCGACATTAGTAATTAGATGTTAGTTACTGCTGTTAGACAATACCAGTGGCTCTCTTACATGTATATTCCCTATACAAAGGGAAGGGGAACTAACATTTTAAGTGCCTGCTATATGCCAGGCACTATACTAAATGCTTTCTTATATATTGCATCTCATGTAACCCTCACAACAATCTTGTGGAAATATATATTAGTGTCTGCATTTTATAGATAAGGACAATGTACTTCAGAAAGGTTAAGTAACATACCCAAGGCGCTTAATGACAGTAGGTTTCTATTATACCTTCCATTAAAAGAACTTCAAATTGGCCGGGCACGGTGGCTCACTCCTGTATTCCCAGCACTTTAGGAGACTGAGGCTGGCAGATGACAAGGTCAGGAGTTTGAGACCAGCCTGACTAACATAGTGAAACCCCATCTCTACTAAAAATATAAAAATTAGCTGACACCTGTAATCCCAGCTACTCAGGAGGCTGAGGCAGGAGAATCACTTGAACCCAGGAGGTGGAGGTTGCAGTGAACTGAGATCATGCCACTGCACTCCAGTCTAGGAGACAGAGCAAGTCTCCATCTCCAAACTTCAAATTAATACATATCTAGGAGGATTAAAAGCGCAAATGGTTTTTACTTTTTTCTGACTTATTTTACCCCACTCTGAAATTTAGTGTCAAGGAAACAGATTTCAAGAAAAGCCAAAATTCTCCTCAAAAATTAAAATTTTGCATGTCAAACCAGGTGCAGTCACTCATGTCTGTAATGCCAACACTTTGGGAGGCCAAGGTGGGAGGATAGCTTGAGGCCAGGAGGTCAAGGCTGCAATGAGCCATGATCATGCCACTGCATTTCAACCTGCGGGAAAAAGCGAGACCCTGTCTCAAAAAAAAAAAAAAAAAAAAAAAAACATTGCATGTCATTTATTGACTGGCAGCAAACCATGGGAATTCACTAAAGATCTTGAAATCAGACAGAAAATCTTATTTGGGGGTGTTTAAGAGGATTAAAGAAACATCATCTTCTCTTACTCTGTACTTTGCTTTGAGTTCATGTAGTACGATGTGAAACGAATCACAACAAAGTGGCCTGTTCTTAGGGTGCCTGCTGGAAGTCAGTATTCCTCTCAGAACATTCTTTCTCTTCTCTTTTCTCCTTTCCTAGGGTTACACATCTTTCTGGAATGACTGCATATCATCTGGCCTGCGAGGGGGCATCCTGATAGAGCTGGCCATGCGGGGTCGAATCTATCTGGAACCCCCGACCATGCGTAAGAAGCGACTACTAGACAGAAAGGTACTGAATCCTCTGTGAACGTCCATGGCTTATGGAAAGGCAAATACCAACAGTACATTTGGGAAGAACAGAAAGATTTGAGTAGTAAGATAAAATAAATATCACTGACTCAACAGTTCCATTGGCTAAACAGGTTAATTATCCTATAGCAAGAGGGAGAAATCAAAGTATCCATAGTCCAAAGAGTTATAGGAAGCTCCTGGTTTTGTCTTCCTTTTTTATGCAGAAAAATCACACTTAGGATGCTGTTGATTAAACTCCTCCTATATCTATAACTATAACATTATGAAATAACCAGGCGCGGTGGCTCATGCTTGTAATCCCAGCACTTTGGGAGGCCAAGGCAGGTGGATCACGAGGTCAAGAGATCGAGACCATCCTGGCTAACACGGTGAAACCCCGTCTCTACAAAAAAATATTCTTAAAAAAAATTAGCTGGGCATTGTGGCAGGCGCCTGTAGTCCCAGCTACTCGGGAGGCTGAGGCAGGAGAATGGCGTGAACCCGGGAGGCGGAGCTTGCAGTGAGCTGAGATCCGGCCACTGCACTCCAGCCTGGGTGACAGAGCGAGACTCCGTCTCAAAAAAAAAAAAAAAAATTACGAAATAGAGTATGATGTAGGGGGAGGGACTCATATGGGTCAGATCAGTCATTGATTAACCCTGGTTATTCTCCAATAACTATTCTCTTTCCTTCCATTTACTGCAAGTCCTTTCCACTCACAACTTCTTTATCATCCTAAGCACTCAACTTAAACTACATTCTTAGGTATCACCAGCTTCTTTTCAGTCTTTGATTTATTTTTCTCTTTTCACCTATATGTGGCATTTGACAATTTTTATCACTTTGAAACTTTCTTCATTCTTGGCCTTTGTTATTATCTTTTTCTCTTGCTTCTCTGACTGTACACTGTTTCCTTACTTCTCCATTCCTTAACATCCAAGTCTCAGTTTGTATCCCTTGAGTGATTTTCTATCCTTTCAGAGATATCATTTACCTTTATAGCTTCATCTGTCACCTTCATGAGATTAATTTTCAAATTTCTAGGCAGGTTTTGTTTTTCCACCTCCAGAAACATATTTAACTATTGGCTAGAAATTTCAACTTGGCTATCCCATATCATTTAAAACTAAACTTAACAAAAAACAAAGAAAATCAAATTATCAACCTTTCCCCAAAACTGACTTCCTTTTCTGGCTTTCCTACCTTTATTTATTTATTTATTTAAATTTTAATTTTTTTAATAGAGACAAGATATTGCCATGTTGCCCCGGCTGGTCTCAAACTCCTCAGCTCAGGTGATCCACCTGCCTCAACCTCCCAAAGTGCTAGGATTACTGGCATGTTTCCTACAGATGTTTCCTACCTTTATTAATGGTTTCAAAACTGAGCCCAGATGTTTCCTACCTTTATTAATGGTTTCAAAAGTTGGTTTCCAGACTCAAAATGAGTTGTTATTGAAACTTTTCTCCATTATCATTCAAATTCAGTTTGTCACTAGGGCCCACTTCCAATGTTATTTTTGTCTTCACATTATCACTCCATACTATATTTTAAACTTCTTGAGGACAGGGACAGTATATTATGCTTCCTTACATTTCTTGCAACACTTAACCAGTAACATATATATGATATATTGAAAGATTTTAACTTGAATGAAGTGAAGGAATCAGGGTTCCTTCTTTCTCCTTTTCTCAAAGGTACTGCTAAAGTCAGACAGTCCAACAGGTGATGTTTTACTGGATGAAACTCTCAAACACATCAAAGCAACTGAACCCACAGAAACTGTCCAAACATGGATAGAGCTACTCACTGGTAAGATGACTTAAAATAATATATGAATTTCACACTTCGTTATCTTTATCCTACCCTGAAATTTAGTAAAAGAAGTACCGAAATTCATCATGCTGGATGAGATAGATGTGGTTCACTATTTAATTCTAATGAGGGACAGAAAAAGCATGGCTAATTGATACCTAAAGTTTTCCAAAGCTTCACCTTATCTTCTGCCACCCCACCCCAAAAGCTCTTTAACAGTATTCTTCACAAGAAACTTTTAAAACATCTTTATAGAGAGGACAATGAGAATATTGGCATTGATGCAATCTATTATTCTTATTAGAATTTCCCAGTTTTAATTTGCCAAATAATATTTTATTGCATGGCCATTCCACATTTGTTTATCCAGTCATCAGTTGATGAATATTTGGGTTATTTCCACATTTTGGCTGTTGTGAATAATACTGCTGTGAACATGCATGGACAAGTTTTTATTTGAACATGTTTTCATTTATTGTGAGTGTGTAGCTAGGAGTAGATAACTGGGTCATATGGTAAATCGAGTAACATTTTTATTGTGGTAAAATATAACATTTATTTATTTATTTATTTATTTATTTATTTAATTTTCCGAGATGGAGTCTTGCTCTGTCTCCCAGGCTGGAGTACAGTGACGCGATCTCAGCTCACTGCAACCTCTGCCTTCCAGGTTCAAGTGATTCTCCTGCTTCAGCCTCCCAAGTAGCTAGGATTACAGGCACGTGCCACCACACCCAGCTACTTTTTGTATTCTTAGTAGACAGGGTTTCACCATGTTGGCCAGGCTGGTCTTGAACTCTTGACTTCAAGATCTGCCCACCTCGGCCTCCCAAAGTGCTGGGATTATAGGCGTGAGCCACCACACCCAGCCAACATTTATTATTATTTTAGCCATTCTTAATGGCTTAAGTGTACAATTCTGTGAAATTAAATATATTTGCAGTATTTTGTAACTATCACCTCTATCTATACTATACCGAAAGCTTCCTCATCATTACCCCCTAAAACTCTGTACCTATTAAATGATAACTTCCTCTTTCTCTCTCCTCCTAGTCCCTGGCAACCTCTATTCTACTTTTTGTCTGTATGAATTTGCTTACTCTAGGTACCTCATATAAGTAGAATTATACAATATCTGTCATTACTTTGCCTAGCTTATTCACTAAGCATAATGTTTTCAAGGTCCATTCATGTCACAGCATATATCAAAATTTCATTCCTTTTTATGGTTGAGTGATATTCCATTGTATGTATATAACATTTTTGTTTAACTATTCATCTGTTGATGGATTCCACCTTTTGGCTATTACGAACAATGCTGCTGTTAACATTGATATACAAATATCTGTTCAAGTTCCTGCTTTTAATTCTTTTGGATATATACCTAGGAATGGAATTGCTGGGTCATATGGCAGTTTAACCTTTGAGAAATCACCAGACATTTCCACAGAGACTGCACCATTTTATATTCCCACCAGTAGTGCACCAGGGTTCCAATTTATCCACATCCTGATAACCACTTGTTCTTCTCTTTCTTTTCTTTTTTTAATTATAGGCATTCGAGTAGGTCTGAAATGTTATCTCATTGTGGTTTTGATTTTTATTTTCAAATGAAAATAGTTTTCATGTCATTCCTATTGACTAAAAATATTGAGCATATTTTTATGTGCTTACTGACCATTTATATATCCTCTGTGGAGAAATATAAAATACTTTTTCCATTTTTAAGTTTGATTGTTTTGTTGTTGAGGGTTTTTTTCGTATTTATTTATGAGATGGGGTATCACTCTGTCACCCAGGATGGAGTGCAGTGGTGCGATCTCGGCTCACTGCAATCTCTACCTCCCGGGCTCAAGGGTCCTCCCACCTCAGCCTCCCGAGTAACTGGGACTATGGGCATGCACCATCACACCTGGCTAATTTTTTGTAGTTTTGGTGGAGACAGGGTTTTGCTATGTCGCCCAGGTTGGTCTCTGAACTCCTAAGCTCAGACAGTCTACCCATCTTGGTCTCCCAAAGTGCTGGGATTTCAGGTGTGAACCACCATGCCTGGCCAGAAGTTCTTTGTATATATTCTGGATATTAATCTTACCAAGAACAGCTCAGTCATGGCGACCCTAACCCAGAGGCGCTAGAGGAATTAAAGACACACATACACAGAAATATAGAGTGTGGAGTGGGAAATTAGGGGTCTCACAGCCTTCAGAGCTGAGAGCCTTGAACAGAGATTTACCTACATATTTATTGACAGCAAGCCAGTCATGAGGTTTACTAAAAGTATTCCTAGTGGGAAATAAAGGGATGGGCCGAAATAAAGGGATGGGCCCTGGCTAGTTATCTGCAGCATGAACATGTCCTTAAGGCACAGATCGCTCATGCTATTGTTTGTGGTTTAAGAATACTTTAAGCAGTTTTCCACCATGGGTGGGCCAGGTGTTCCTTGCCCTCATTCTGGTAAACCCACAGTTTTCCAGTGTGGGTGTCAAGGCCATCACAAGCATGTCACAGTGCTGCAGAGATTTTGTTTATGGCCAGTTTTGGGGCCAGTTTATGGCCAGATTTTTGGGGCCTATTCCCAACATGTCCCCCTTCTTTGTTTTGCAAAGCAATAAAAGCAAAGGCAGCTTTGTCAAGGTGAGCTACTTCTCACAGGGGTCAGGATCCGCATCTTCAGTCTATACAAAGACAAACAACACAGATTAATAACACAATCATCATTGAAATCACAGAACTTCCAAGTGTTTTTATCCATTTTAATGGGTTACTAGCTGTTAATCCATCTGCAGCTCCTTCATGCACTCCAGTTCCTGGCATTAAGGTCAGATGTGCCTGGGATGCCTTAAATATTTGTTCTTTTAATTTTGCAATATCCAAAGACAAGTTTGTAGAGTGTCCTTCTAGATGCTTTTTTATTCTTTCCCAAATTTTGATCTCATTAAGTGCTATTAATAGTTTCCACAAATCCTTACATTTAGCCCCTACAGCGGGCCATATCATTTGAGGTTGAGGTGCCACTCTATTGCCACGTTTCCAGATAATAGGAACTCTTGCCGTACTTCTTACCATTTCTACCATCTGATCATTTTGTTCAGACCAGCTGAACATAGTGTGGCCATGGCATGCAGACTGAGAGGTGCAATTCAAGCTAAACATCCCCTTAGGGAACCAATCAATAATGATTCCATAGGAATCGTTGCACAGCACCTCTTCGTGTTCTGCAATGCAATCTTCCTAAACAAGTATGTTCATTTTTTTCTGGTCAGGTTCAATTTTGTTTACAAATAGGTTTTTGAGGGCGGTATGCCTCAATTATAGGAGCAGAATTATTATGGCAAATACTGAGATCAGAAAGCATGTGTAACTGTCATAGAGTGATTACATCCAGGCATTATTGCCAGCCAAGATTGATAAATATGCCCAATAAGTATAATTGTTCTCTGTGCCAGCCCTTGTTGAAGGAATACTCATGGCAGTGGTGGTAACCGCTATCATAGCTTTTGTTAAATTACTCATTGTGACTGGTTGTCCCGCTTTCCTCAGGTTTTCTTCCACCATCTGTGACAGCTTCTTGATCTCTCCCCAGGTGGGTGGCTGTGTTCGACGGGTGTTGCTTGTGACAGTTGGGGTCCTCCTCAGCATCAGTCTCAACATGGCTGCAACCGGGGGGTCCTCGGGATCCTCCCAGAATCTCTTCCTCGGCATCTGTCTCATAATAAGGTTTTAGGTGTCTTGATGGCATCCAAATCAGTGTTGATTCGGTCCTGGAGAAACACAAGCATAACCTCTACCCCAAGTTATTGTTTTACCTATTTCCCAACTTTTTCTTATCAGATCTCTCCACCAAACCAGTTGTTTTGCTTCTGTCATTGCAGCTGGTTTCTGTAGATGCTGTTCAGCTGCTGATAACATCTGGCCTTTAGGCACTCTCGAAAAATTTGAAGTTAATAATGCTAGATTCAGTTGTATATTGGGTGTCATGTAATCCCTATTTCCCCCCGTTTTGTTTTTGCAACTGCTGTTTCAGGGAGAGGTTCATTCTTTCCACTACGGCTTGTGCTTGAGAATTATATGGGATATCAGTAATGTGTTTAATATTCCATATGGAGAAAAATGTAGCTAGAGCTTGGCTAGTATAGCCTGGGACATTATCTGTTTTAATAGAAGCTGGAATGCCCATCACCACAAAACACTGCAAAAGGTGATGTTTAACACAGGCAGAAGACTCTCCTGATTGGCATGTAGCCCAAAGTGAGAAAAGGTGTCCACACATACGTGCACATAATCTAGTCTCCCAAATGAGGGAACATGTGTGACATCCATTTGCCAAAGGGAATTAGGTTCCAATCTTCGAGGATTAACTCCTCCTGTAAAAGATGAGGAATGTACCATTTGGCAAGTTGGGCTTGCTGGATAATAACTTTAGCTTCTTTCCAGGTAATGCTATATCTGCATTTGAGACCAGAAGCATTAACATGGGTTAAATTGTGAAAGTGTTTGGCATTAGATACTGCATTAGCATCTGGGCAATCAGCCATTTGATTCCCTTCAGTTAAAGGTCCTGGAAGAGGTTTATGAGCCCTAATGTGAGTGATGTAAAAAGGGTGCATTCTACTCCTAACTGCTGTTTGCAGTTGGGTAAATAAAGTCATCAGTTGTTCATCTGTATGAAATTATAACTGAGCATTTTCAATTAACTGTGTGGAATGAACCACATATGAAGAATCAGAAATCACATTAATAGGCATATTAAAAGCAGTCAATACCTCAATTACAGCTACAAGCTCTGCTTTTTGAGCTGAAGTATAGGGCATCTGTAAAACTTTACCTTTAGAGCCAAAATAAGAAACTTTACCATTATCAGCCCCATCTGTAAAAACATTCTCAACACCTTCAATTGGTTTAAATTTAATTATTCTAGGGGAATCCAATTAGTCAGTTTCAAAAATTGAAACAGTTTCATTTTAGGAAAGGGATTATTGAGAATACCCACAATGTCA